GGGGGGGGGGGGGGGGGGACAATTTGAGAGCAGCAACCTATGTAATGTATGTGGGAAAGAGAAATAATTGTATGTATAAGGCATATTTGCTCCATACAAAAAGATGGGACTCCTGATGTGTGATTACCCTAGCCCCTGGCAGCTGCCGCTTGTGTCTGTGCCAGTTGACATGTATACACTCCATCTGAAGTTTGTCACTTAACAAGTGAGATTGTTAAGATTTCTGGTGGGGATTTTTCATAGCAGATGTTTTTCTTTACTTACCATTTGTTTTAATTATTCCTGATGTTTTGCCTATCATATTGCAGGCTTCTTCAAAGGAAAAGAAATAAGCAGTTGTCATAACAACAAAGCTCTTCATTACCACAGGAACCTTTGACAGCTTTATTTAAAACTCAAAGAAAAAATTAAAAGAGAAACCTGACCAATTATTTTTATCAGTCTGATTCATGTTCTTCTTAAACAGATTAGTGCCTTCTCCCAAAATTACAACATGAAGGAAAGTGTGTTTATGAATAGCTGTTGTAATTCAAAACCGGGGGTGGGGGGGAAGAGGGAGACACCCACATTTACTGAGTTTATTAATAGAAGGCATTGCTGAACAGTACTTGTCTGAGTGTTAATAGTAGGGTCTAAGGTGCAAAATTTGTAAGGGGGTCCAATACTTTGTTCCTCACACAGACATCACTGTTTGAATCCTGGCAGGGAGGGGAAGCATTTAACTTGCTGGATCCATTTGCAAAATTGCAAAATTTGGAAATAAAAGTGATAGAAACAGAATTGGGAGCTCTTGCTTTAACTGCTGTGGAGGATGTCAAGGCTGTAGCAGTGTTGCCTTGTGGTTACCCAGGCTAGGAAAGCATGTGGGCAAGGTCAAGGGGGCAGGGGTGCTACTTGACTAAACCACAGTATGAGAGTGTTTCCTTTTTGCTTGTAGCACAGGAAAGCAGGAGAGCTCTTTGTTCCCTCCTGTTCAAACTTCATAGATGTTTGGATGCTGTAGTTGTCCTTAACACCAGTCTCTAATTTTTAGTATGAAATAAACATCCAGATATTCTTTCATATAATCTAGGCATTTATTGTTTTGTTTTGTTGGAGGGGTGGGGGAAGAAGTGAAGGAGGGGTGAAGGAGCAGTGTGCAAACTAACTCTGCAAACTAAATGTTTTCAACACCGGCATCCTTTACATGAGACTGTTTTGCCCTCAGTTTAACCAGAAATATTATCTGCTAGACATAATCTTAATTTCTCCCTTTTACCAGGGAAAGGATAGGCTTCTGCAGAGACCTCTCTTTCTGTCCTTTTCCTTCAAGGAATTTTAAAAAACAGCATTTTTCTTCTGATGTAGAAAGATGAGAAACCTGGACTGTCTCCCATGCATGCTTCCTACCTGTGGCCGTGTCTCATGTTAAAAAAATCCAAATCATACAAGGCTGATTTCTTTCTTGTCGAAATTCACAGGAATCAGCTGGGCTATGTCAGGTATAAATTTGGTCCGCAGAGTAAAAATCTTTTCAGAATCAATTAAAAGAAAAGAAACAACCTCACAAAAATGCATGTGTGTTGTTGGTAGGGAGAGGGTAGGGATAGTTCTCTTGTGTACCTGTTTCTTTGTGGCACCTTAAAACTACCCATAAGAAATCTTTTGACTGCTTTTGTCCTATGGGAAATTAAGCTTTGGTTCCATTGTTACACAAGATGGTTTGGGGAGCTATTATTTAATTATGGCGACTACACACATACAAGACATTGCATTAGGAAACACACACACACACACACCATCTGCTAGATACCATCATTTAGCTGTAGGCATACAGGAACAGAGTCTTAGGAGTGTTAACTGTATTCTAGGAGGCTTTAAATGCAGGTCTTATACATCATTGCAGAGGGAGGCTTTTCAGGGAGAGAATATTCCTTGATAATGCAGTCATTATTACTGCAGAAAGATGTTAATTTTTCCAATAAATAAGCTTAATCTTTTTATGTAGATCATTTTGTAAAATAAACAGGGTATTTTTATGAGCTACTTAGAACTGCAGCTGAGTGGGGATTTGCACTAAGATCCTCCGTACTCTCTCAATCGTAGGCAATTTTTTAATTCCAGAGAACTTACTCCAGCCCATTGGTGGTGGTTTTTAAATAACAAAAAGGCATGACACTTTTTTAAAAGTTTCAAACCATTTACGCAACTAAACACTGATTAGTAGAGTTGATATTGTAATTACTTAAAAAGAAACAGAGAAGGGTTTTAGTCAGGCTCTGAGCTGGTGGTTTTAACTGAGGATCTTTGATAACTCCTAGAATATGCGTGTGAAAGAGGGGGAGAGCATAGGAAAGCAAAGGATGAGGACGAAGCAGAGATCCTGAGAACCAGGAGCTCTTGAATTTTTGAGACTGAATTTTGCATCCTGGTCACAAGTTAGTTTTCCCTCATATACAAACCTCTGTTGTCAATTTGCATGTCACATGACATTCTTTCCTGGCTTTTGAGACTTCGTTTGTGAATCTGGGCAAGTCACTTAGTTTCTCTGCCGCAGTTTCCCAGCTGCAAAATAAAGATAATAATACTTCCCCCTCTTATTAAAGCCTGACAACTGCTCATATACTATGGGCATGGGGACCATACTAGCATCTGAGAGAGTCAGGTTGGCTGCATGATGTCAAAGTGCTATATTGTTCCATCCCAGAAGAGTATGCATTTCCTTGCATGACGTGTTGGCAGTAGGATTTTCTTTGGGATAGTGGGTGCAGTAGAAACACAAGGCAACATGCTTATTGGTGCCCACTGAATACAACCTTCTATACATGGTGGGATCCAGGATTCTGTGAAGGAGAGTGCAAGGGCTGCTCCAAGCTCCTCTCCTACCCCCAGGCAGTCAGTCATAGGATCAGCTACAGGGATTTGGGGACTTATTTTTAAGTCTCCAAATCTGTTAAGAATCCTGTCCCTCTGTTCCACCGTCATAGTTTCATAGTTTCTAGGGTCGGAAGGGACCTGAGCAAATCATCGAGTCTGACCCCCTGCCATGGCAGGAAAGAGTACTGGGGTCAAACAACCCCAGCAAGGTGTACATCTAGCCTCC